TGCACAGCACGACGCAGGAATGGTGAGTGAGAGTAAGTCTCTCCGTTTCGTGTCCGGAAGCCGAACGGCAAGGGGTGTGTCGTTCATGCTTACAAAAAGCTCAACGCTGTCTACACTCCGCACAATCACCGATTCCTCAAAAGCATCTTTTTCGAAACAATATGGTTGGCTGTACAACGTACAGCGCACACAACATGGTCGATGGTTATTACCAATTGCTCATGAGAGCGAGTGATATTCCGCTGACAGCGGGGAGCACTCTGAGCTGGATGCTCTGGGAGTGCCCCAAGAACTGTCAAATGCGCCAGAAACATTTAATCGTCTTGTGACGCAGTTGTTCAGGTCCCATCGGGCGTATGCACAGACATACTTCGACGACATCTCGTCCAAAGTGTTGTGGGGAACGGAAGGACAGATGTGGAAAACCACATCGTTTATTTGAGAGCGCTGCTTGAGTGTATACACACAAATAAGGTGTGATAAATGCATCTGTGGCGAGGAAGATTTTTTTCTTTTTAGAGTCCTTCTTCTGGAACCTTCGAGCGGATCCCAATGTCAAGGCCATTGTGGACTGGCCGATCCAAGGAGTCAAAAGGACTTGTGCAAGTGGCTTGGCCTCGCCAACTACTTACACAAATATAGCGCAAATTATGCAGAGCTAGCACGGCCATTGTCAAATTTCCTTAACAAGGATAGGGAATGGTGTCGGAACACCGGGCATCGGAGACTTCTGACAGGGTCAAAGACAGCCTCCTTAATGCACCAATACTGGCGTTGCTAGACCCCGGTCGTCCTTTTTGTGTCGTCTGTGACGCTTTCGGACTTTGCCATCAGCTGTGCACTGCTGCAAGCAGACGCCGAGGGGTTAGATCTGTCGAATCTCGCCGGCTTAAGGCTGCGGAGAGAAACTACCCAGTTCACGACAAGGCATTCCTTGCGATGAAGTATGCACTTGTCAAGTTCAGGGTGCACCTGCTTGGTTCAAAGCGATTTGTGATCTACACAGATCATGCCTCCTAACGCACTGCGACTTAGTCGCCCCACCTCTCGCAGAGGATGGCCACTTGGCTCCCATTTTTTGCAGAATATAACTTCGAGGTGACGTGTCAACCAGGAAAGCAGAATGTTTTGGCTGATGCGTTGTCATGAAGACCTGATTATAAGCTTGCTCATGTCACGACGGTGACGTCATCAGTGATAGATTTGATTTGCGCCGCACACGCGGGTGATGATATGTGCGTAGCGCTGCTACGAACACTCGGTAGCAAGGAGTTTGAAAACTCGGACAAGACGTTGTTGTCGTGATTGCGCGCACGCTTGCACCGATATTCGTTGAGTAACTGGTTGCTGTATTATAGCACCGATTCAACGGATATTGTGGTTCCTCTCGATGAGAATTTGAAGTACAGTATCCTTTCTGAGGCCCACGACACCCCACTCACTGGTCATCTCGATCGTGAGAGGACGTACAGCTCGGTGGATTGCTGCTACTGATGGACCAAGCTGTACAAATGGACGGGCACATATGTGCGCGTGTCAGAATGTGAAACTCTCTCCAAAAGCGGCGGCGCCGCTGGCAAGTTTACCGGTACCCTCTAGGTGTTGGCAGTCCGTTTGTGCTTGGCCTGCCGAAGGACTTCGGCAGGCAACACGGATGCAGTGGCTCTTCAGGATCGTTTGATCATGATGGCTCCTGCGGCAGTGCCGGACATCATCGATGGTGTCGGTACAGCGACGGCGTTTGTCGATCGTGCCTTTCAGCAACATGGAAACCCGGAGTCTATTGTCTCTGAAAGAAACCCGCGCTTCACTTAAGAGTTACGGTTAACACTCTTCAGAGTGCTGGACAGCAAGTTGACTATGTCAACAGCGGGTTATCCGCAGACCGATGGTCAGACCGATCTCGTGAAATGCGTCGTTGAAGACGTTGTTCGCAGCGTCTGCGCTAAGACGCCGAAGTGCTGGAGCTCTATGTTGCCATTCGTAGTGTTTGCTCTAAACGATGCAGGGCTCTCATCTACTGTCTACACATCGTTACTGGCTACACATCGTTCTACGTGAACGGGTTTGTTAATTCGCGCGTCCCACTGACATCGCCATCCCATGGCTCAGGTCGTGGTAGGGGAGGAATAGCCGAACGGCTAGCTGATGTTTGCCCCCTCACTGTCCTTGGAGAAATAGATGCCTTCCTGACTACCGGACTGAGTGTCCATCGACACGTCCGCGATGCGATGGCTGAAAGCCAAGGCATGCAGAAAAGAATGTGGATAACCTTGAGGTTGGAGGCCTGGTTTTATTAAGTGCAAAAAATGTCTCTAAACATGCATTCCCTGCTGTCTTTAAGACGAAGCTCTGTTCACGGTTTATTGAGCATATTAAGGTCGTGGTCAAGCGACACCTTGCGTATTCGCTCAACCTTCCCAGAAGAATGCGCACCCATTCGGTGCTCTATGTGGACTTGTTTAAGTCGTGCTGGAATCCGGCACAAGAAAGCGCGGAAGTGTTGGCACCGGGGCGGCACCCAAAATGCTCGGCCACCCAGAAGCTGAACCAGCAACAGGTTCTAAGCACGGAGTGCAACTTTTTCCTTTTTAGCGGCGCAAGGCGCTCAACCATCGCACGAAGTTATTTATCGGCTGCTTGTCGGCTAGGGGCCGCTCTGACAGAGCGCGATAGTAACAAACGTGAGGCAGTTGGAACTCAAAAAGTACCAAGCTCTCTAGGTCTTCCACACAGTGGTATGCGACCCCAGCATGGTGCTCGGCGCAGACCCGATCGCGAAAGATCTAGTACTTAAGAGCTCGAAGAGCATTGCGAGTCACTGGACGGCGATCGACCCAGTCGTCGTCGTTTGCTGTTGACTCTTCTTGACGAGAACGGTGGTGTCAACTATCGCGTAAAACGGCTTGTGGGTCGACGTCGTCGACAGATTCAAACCCAGTATCTTGTAAAGTAGAGAGGGAGCCTAGACTCTGAGAGCTCGTGGGAATTTGAGGTGCCACTTCGGGAAGACTGCCCAGACGTCGTAAACGCTTACGATCAGAGAGATCATGACGTTCCACGTCGTCATGCGCCCCGCGCTTCCTGTCAAAAGCCAGGGAAGCGGAAGGGCCATGAGCTGAGCTCAAGCTGTGGTCACAGACTCACCCGTGTGAGAGACCACAAGGCTTGCGAAAGCGTGTAGGATCAAGCCATACGTCGCAGGGCGAAAACGCAGGAAGTCGGCGACGCGCCTTGAGTTGGTAAATTCAAACGAAATTGGCGCTCCGCACGCGCGTCCACCTCCCTGTGGCTCAACTGTAAGTTGTACAGCGAGGAGAGTTTCTTGTGCCGCTGTAACCATCGCCCAAAGAGCTCTTCGTCATCTGTAGTGGTTTTGCCGGGGGTGAGTACCACAGGAATCATCCGCATTGCGGGTACAGTAGCGCCTCCACTTTGAGCACAAAGTCGAGTGCGGCACGTGATTTCGTGAGGAACCAAGAAGCGAGCTCGGAGAGCTTTGCATACGTCAAGCTCAGCTTGTGTAGTGGCCGGGGGGCCCACCACGTAGACGCCCAGCGATAGAGTGATCGAGTCCTTCGCTTCTGCAGCGGGATCTTTCGAGCAGAAGCCGTATTTCACACGAGGGTCAAGGACCGACCGTGGATAAGAGCCGACCTGCGGATATCATCCGGTTGTTGCTTCTGTGCCCCGTCGAAGCCATTGATAATGAAACCACTTTCTCCGAAGTAAAGAGTTCAGGAAACGAACACGGCGTCCGCCAGGTTTAAGCAGGGCCCATGTCGCGCCGCTGGGGCACCTCGCCCTCCTCTTTTTCCCATCCTGGGATAGGAGTATCCGACTCAAAGTTGACTTCCTTTAATTCCTTGACGAGGTAATTCATCGCCTGTGGTTGGTGCGGTGCGCGAAACTCGGTTACCGAGAGTTTGGGTTGCGCTTCCCTTTAAACCGCGAACGTGCTGTCCGGAGTTGCACCGCGTGCAGAAGACAAAGAAGGGCTCTGCCCGCGGGCGTTCTTGGAATTAGCGAGACTGGGTGTCTTCCGTGTCCTCGACACAAGGCTCATTGAGCACAGAATTCGTGATGAAAGTCCTTGTGGTGTTGTGGTGTTTAAAACACACGAGTTTCGAAGCGACAGTTGAATGTGAACTGTAGTTGTTCATAATCTTGATGGTGGGAGAGTGTAACGAGGCCACACAAGATGATGTGATCTCACAATGGTGTGAGTTACACAATATGGTGCCTCTTTGACAACAAGTCAGTACGTGGCTGGAACAGCCAGTAGTTTTACATTTAATCGGAATTTTTGCTATATGGATAGGAAAACCAACAGATTTAGATATAGGTGGCTTTACTGCAGATAAACCCGCGAAATACCATACACATTTAAAACGGAAGAGTTAATTAGCCTCGTATTAAGGTTATATTTACACTTAAGTATAGAGCGATGGTCACCGACCTTAACCCAGCTTCCTCTAAGCGAAACAGCTACGGCAGCCCCACTGCACAGACAAACATCGCGCCACATCACCTACACCAAACATTGTTATTTATCATTGCGAGGATGGATTGTGAAAGAGTCGATACTACACTATGCATTACTGGACTTAATGACCTGGATCCTTCTTTTGAGATTTGCGAAGCATTATTGCAAGACCAAGAGGGATATGTCAACTATAAAGATCTCGCACTTAAATCGATGACAAAAACATTTTAAAAACTGTAGGGTTTCAATTGTCGAACTCTGGCTTGGCGCTCACGAGACCTTCATCAGCTTTGTATTTGTTGTGTGCTGACAGCGACTGAAGATGGTAATCAGCTTTTAGTGTAGCGTGATCGAGCAAATCAAAAAGCACTCCGAAATTGAAGAGAAATTATAGCTTTGGAGCTGTTGAGCGGAATTAGTCTCGAAAAGACGACGTGATATTACCAACATGTTTTGTATGTAATTGTGGGTATTTTGCGTGAGATTTTTCTTGTTTGGATAGGGTAGAAGATCAATGGAGGTGAGTTCAGGCGTTGAGTACATTTTTTGTATTTATCAGTTAGTAAAATTCCGGTTTTGTCAGTATATACTCTACGCAATGGCTAACAGCGCGAATCCGCTGCCGCACTTTGGTCCAATAGCTAACACGAATCTGACAAATGTTACTTCAAACGCTTTGTATATTAAGCCTCGATGGACGTCATCGCATTTTCCAAGGCTTTTATTAGTCCAAAGATTCATTCAGCTCATACGAATGCTGCTTCAAGTAAACCAGTGATGTCGCATTGTAATCTGAGCTTATAGCAATATATGATTGAAATACATCGTTTGCAAGTAATTATGCCTCAAATGCCTGAGATCATATCGTTCAATTTGATCACCATGTCGTATTTGGCGGTCCGCAGCTAATAAGGTCGCGCTTGCTCCATCCGGAGTGCGAAAGGTAGTCGACTCCCTCCGAACCATCGCCGAGAAAATTTGTCGCCCGTGGCGAGCGCGGTGTGTGGGCCGGGGTGAGGGTCTTTTTTGGTGTGGCGCTGCTCATTGTGATTATCTCGTGGTACTGTACTGGACTTCACTTCTTTCAAAGTTTGCACAGCCATTGCTGACAGAATACACCCTGGTGAAACCGCCTCGGAGGATCTGCTGCCATCCCGGCAATAAGATTTTCAACTCTTGGACAAAGTCGACCAACTCCTTCTTGCCCTGTCGGATAGCAAGGAAATGCACGCGACATGCCTGATAAGGCGGCGAGATCACTCGCAATTTATATAGCTGACGCTTCTGCTCCTTCCCGGAAAGGAACGCAGCTTCAACCGAAGCACCGCACGTAAGTGCCCAATCTCGCGCTCGGCCCCCGAGCTTGGAGATAGCTAGCGCCACGTGCTGTTGCACATTTTTGAAGCATGGTGGATGCCATAGCCGTATCAGCCTCTCTCACTCAAAGTAGAAGATTCTTTTCATCCTTACCTTCAAAGGTCTTCACGCTCCATGAGCGGTCTGGGTCGGAAGAAATGATCCGTTGTCGACGGTGGCGTCATGGACGCAGTCGATGCTGACAGCTTCTACTATAAGTCCTCTAACAAAGCATTTTCATAACTTGGAAGCGCCTCTAGGCGCGCGCTTATGGCCTCGGGTCCTTGCGCAACGAGGTGCTCCACGTCCTCGGGATCCAGCAGGGATATCAGCCTGTCTTGCATGCCCTGGGGCAAATATCCTCCATCTGCATCGAGGATCAGTCGTTACCTAGTGCAGCGGGGCTGCCGTAGCTCTTTGCTAAGCTAAGGTCAATGACCTTACGTTCTTTCCAAGAACCAGTACGAGTGTAGCGGATCGCAACCCGCTTCCTCCAAGTACTGAAATCTTAACCAAGGCAAAGAACACTTCTGTTCAGAATTGAAACTGTATTCCCTTGTTTTAGTTGGGTAAATTCTAAAAACCAGTTGTCTCCGAGTAGGTTATTCTAGTCAATGTAGTGATACCTAGTTAGTATATTAAAACCCGACTACTATAGTACTACTGCTTCTTGTTACGGTGTAAGCCACACCACTGTATGATTACACTTAGCGTGTAATACACACCATGTACGGTCATACAAGTACGTGAGTTACAACTCGGTGTATTTATGCAATGGAATTTTTGAATAAAATAAATAATTTTTTGCTTATGGGTAGGTCTGAAAGTTTGTGCAATTATTATTGATGTGTAAAAGTAAAATTACTTTTCAATTGTAAGATCGAGTTCATATTTGCGTTCACAGAACAGTAAGCATATTAACTCATGAATCCATTTAGCTGTTAGCTCCAAATTCGGCAATGTAATTTCTAAACAGAGCATCGATAATTGCACTGTCCAAACAAAATGTTGTTTAAGCTGGTCGGTCCGCCAATTCAGCAGTTTACCTTCTTGAAGTTACGATTCGATCATTCATAGCGCATCGTCTACATGATATTGCAACGCGAAGCTAGCCCTCCAGTGCCAGAGGTAGACTGATGTTGCGCTGTAGAATCGCCCATTTTAGTAATGAATCCATGAAGTTTACCATATACGTTGCCAATTACAGATGGGCAGCGCGGATGGCTGACTGCTGAAAGGATTGAGGCATGTAGCATACGGAAAGCTTCCTGTAGTTGCGGTGAGATCATATAGCGAACACGTAAGACTTGCCAGTACAGTATCAGCAGCAAAAAATTGCGCGTTGGCAATAGCATCTCTACGATCAATGAAATGCCGATAGCCAAATCAATATTAGCCGCGACCTGTGGCATACGACTGTACAATTTTGTCCACTTGGCGTGAGTAGTCAGTGCTGGAAAGCTTGGATCACTGATGATTAAAGCTGTGAGAGGTACCAACGCCTTGGTTGTCACAAATGTCACAATACTTAAGTTACCCAATCCGAGCACCTCCAACAACGACTGCACATAGGAAAAATAGTGCACCATTTCCAATAGGAAAACAGGCATCATGGCCAGACCGTGCGGGTCCGAGACCCAGAACACGAGACAGAAAAACAAGATCTGAGCAGCAGGATCAAGCAGCAACCGTTGAGAATAGGCAGCGCTCCATCTCGGGGCTCCATGTGTAAAGGCTAAATAACTGGTATGATTAACGAGAGCCACTTTAAAAAAATTCCCGTAGGCAGCAGAGCTAGATAGCAGCATCGGAATCCAGAAATTAATGAAGCAGAGTAGCAGCATGGTGCGTAGTATAAATTGATACAGCTGAAAAATATTGCGTTTGCTGCCAAACAAGAAACTTTTAATTGTAGATGTTGATAGTGGTGATGAAGTCGACGATGTACTGGATGATATGCCTGCTCCCTGGGTGGCCAGTTTCACTTCTACAGCTTTGAGACCTTCAAGCAGTCCTGAATTTGATGTGTCGTGACTTAATCCATCTTTGTAAGCTCTATAAGCATCAGCGTATCGTCCAAGAGCATACAGTGCAGCGCCACGACGTGAGTATCCCTTGGGCCACTTTGGCTTAATCGTGATACATTTGTCTGCGTCTTCAAGTGCTTTATCAGCCTTGTCAAGCTTCAGTAGTGCTGCTGAACGATTGCTATAAAAAACGTGCACATTTGGATCGGTAGGGGCAATCGCCAGTGCTTCGGAGAAACAGGCAACGGCGTCAGAGTATAAACCCGCAGCAAACGCACGATTACCGCGGCTTTTAGCTTGCTCGGCGGCCATCAATTTCGATTTAATGTTTTAGAAAAAGGATAGAAAATATTGTTCTAGAAAAAACGTTGTACATAGTTTGTTCAGATTACTATATAAAGTCTTTACTTTTCTTGACGATTATTGCTCTTAACATGAACTTCATAACATTCTTCTTGGCTTGCTCCAGTATTAACCAAGTTTTTGATAATTTTGTTTAATCGGAGTCATCAGAGGAGTCAATCACGATCACATTCCAAGATTGCACAGATTTTTTTGGCTCGCTTTTCGCCACAGTAACTTTATCAGAAGCTACATCGAGATCTTGACTCTTACCACTACTTGAAATTCTCGAATTGTTCAGCTTACTTATCGCAGCTACAGCAGCAGCTCGGACTGGTCTTTTACTCATAGACACGTGAACTTCCTTCGCAACTTTTCCAGAATCATTATTGCCCTTGTTCTTAGACGATGGTGATGTCATCTCCATGTCTTGAGTGCTGCTGCCATTTCTATCCACCGTATCCTCTAGTGCATCACTGCTAGCCTTACATGACAGTGCTGAGTGAGCATTTGCGTCCTTTATTTCATCGTGCTTTTTCTGCTTAGCCCAAATTGCTCGTACGTGCGTGGAAAAACATGGATCCTCTAGCTGCATCAAGGCCGTCTCCTCTTCTGGCATCAAAAGACTTTTAATCGGGTTTAACTTTACTGGAGACAACTCTTCACGACGCTTCTCTCGCTGCGATGTATTGCTTTCAAAAATCTGTCGTAAACGAACTGACGGAACAACGTGTGGATCTTCTTTTCGCATGGCCCCGATATCTCGAATGCGACGTACAGTCTCCGATTCTTGATTGCGAGAAGGTCGCGAGCGCGATATTTCCGTGTCGTCATTGCTCAGATCAATGAGTCGTTCAGCTCGATTCTTAAGCACTTTGATAAGCAAATTGCGACACGTTAATGCGAGTGCTGTCACATAATTCTCTACCCAGCTAAATCCTGGATTCGAATTTGTTGTATTTGCAGAGCTAAACAGCGGAAGTTTCCAAACCGAAGCCAAATGTTCATCAAGTCCGTAGCATTCAACACCCTGCAACAGCAAAATGTCATGCCTTGGACTACTCCACCAGGCTGGATACTCTGTAGACACTGACTGTACCCTGACCACGCGAGCGACTACTTCAACGAGCTGAGCTGGTGGTAAGATAAGGATCTGAGTCCGAAGCAGCCGAAACAGATCGATGCGATGCACTAACCGTCGACACTGCGTAGTTGTAAGAAGCCAAAAGCCACGCTTGCCACCCAAAATCGAGTCTTCGTTGCTAAACATACTGATAATCTGTCTGTCAGCAGCTGCGCGCAAACGATGACGGCATACACGCTCCAGATCATGTGCTTCAGCGAGAAGTTCCTCTAGTGAGCAGTGTCCAATATTTAATTGACTGTCTTGCAAAAAATAGCGCCATTTTTCATTGCGCTCGCGCATGTCTTGACAAGTGCTAACATCTGGAATTCCGAATGAAAACACAAGCTTCGCAAACTGATTATGTCGTACATTATTGGCCGACATTTTTGCATGTGGCACACGCTGATGCTCAAGTTGGTGTTGAAGTTTCTGCTGCAGATCGAGAAGCTGTTGCTGTCGCTGAAGCTTTGAGGTGGTTAAATTCAATGCTGTAGCAATCGATGTCGTGGATGGTGCAATGCTAGTGCTTTTTGTGGATGTCCACAAGTGTAGTAGCAACTTCAGACGCCGATTTAAGATGGCCATAGAGGGCCATTTAGAAGTCGGATAACACTTTGCGCGGTGTCCAAACAACGTTGATATGTTTACCATCTGACTGGGTATACCTCGTCCTTTAACCCATCCTTCACGATACACATGTATCAAAAGCATAACGTCATCTACACGAGAAATCCACCAAGGTGCCACCAGCTCAGGGGAATTAACAGGAGGCAATGATCCAAGGATCCGCATTGCCTGCATCCGCTCATTTTCGGCTAATGGGCCGGACTTCCCTTGCACTATTGGCTCTTTTGCAGGACCACTACCAGCGTTTTCACGTAATGACGAATCACTTTCATTTTCAGCACCAGTATTTCTAGGGATAAATTTATTTTCACAACTCAAAGTGTCGACATTCTTTTCGTTCTTGTCGTCGCTCGTTTCTGTTGGAGTTTGGGTCGGACCCGAACCAGGAATGTTAACGCAGTCAGGTGGAGTCTTCGAGTATTTTTCAATAGCCAAATGTTTCTCGGATGACATATCAATTGTTTCGTCATTTTTTTCAACTGACTTTACTTCGTCGGATTGAGAAATAGTATGATTATCATGCGTCGCAACCTCTGCAGACGATATCATCTTGCATTCAGCCTCGTCCAATTTCTCGCTTTTAGAAGAAAGAGTTGACGCGATGGGATTCCGATCTGTTGTCACTGCAGCCTTTTCATCTTTGCTTGCAGTATCTTCTACAGAGACTACTTCAGTTTTTTTAAACGTCTCTATTTCAGATGCAGGTTTGACTGTTTCTTTCTGCTTAATAGGCAGTTCAACAGGTAATGGCGGAACTGTACCAGATTCAATCATATTTTGAACAACAGCTTCGTTTCCAATACTTTGTAGACACTCGATAGTATGAACGAGCGCCGGCGCTTTACTGAAGTTTAGCTGCACAAATTCGCTCAGCCTATACATGATGTCAATCTGTTGCAGCTTCGTACGAAACCCACGTGCTGTTCTACTCTGATAATCCGTTAGCCATAGCGATGGAGGTACTGCGACAGCCAGCAGATTCTCAACTTGCATGTCCTTCATCATGGCAAGAAGAAAAGGAAAGCGGCGAGCCGAAACGTTGAGTTCATACGCATATCTTTCAATTGGTGACGCAGATCCCATTAGCAACGGAGGAGGGGTGCTCGAAACTATATACACTCGGCTAGGCTCCAATCCTAAGCCAATACGCTCGAAAGTCGTTGTTGCTGTCATCACGCGAACCATTCCGGTGACAAACTTTTGAGCAAATTGAATTAGTTCTGCATTTGGGTACGCTTGTAATGTTGAACAATGCCGCTTCATGTCATCCCATCGCCCGTATCCAAAACTTCCAAGAAGCTCGATAATTCGTTCTACATGGTGAAATATCGGTATGTTTAGTAACTGAGTGCGCTTTCGCTTGTTATCGACAGAATGGTCGTCTTCTGTCATTGATGAATTGCTCATATCGTCATCGTCATCATCATCCTCATTGGAAATTACAAACTCTTCGTCTTTTTGAACTTCCATCCCTCGAAACAATTTTTTGCGACAAGCGCGTTCATCTTCACTCCCATCAATCATGTAAGTCTTATCGTCGTCAGTCAGGTAAGACTTCACCTTACGACGGCAACGTCTTTTTTGCAAAGGTGACGGCTCTGTTTTCTTCTGTTCCTCAACTCCATTTAAGCCAATCACTTTCGTCCAGAAATTTGGATCGTCAACGTCTACTTCCTCGTCTGGATTAGTCGAACTTACAAAAGTTGCCTTTGAAAACGAAGACATGACACTTTTCGTCTCGTTCCCATTACCTCGAGTTGGATCATGAACAATCGTGGTACTGCGGCTAAGAATTTGATCGATGCTTTCCTCGCTAAATTGTTTGCTAGCTGCCTCAGCTTCACTGTCCTGCTCCTTAAATATTTCGTAAGCGCCATGCTTGAGTAAGTTCTCAATCTCCTCTTTTGACATCCGATCGTTGGTCTTGCTCGACTTTGCCGTCCCTTTTAGTTTTGCTACAGGATCGTCATTTTTGATACCTCCCAGCACTGCTTGATCTAGTCCAAGCTTTAAGGACGCCGTGTGAAACATGTGCAATTCGTAAGTTTTTGCTGTAAGCAATCGATAAATTTTCACACTTTTTTTCTGGCCGATACGATGACAACGTGCTTGAGCCTGAAGATCATTTTGCGGGTTCCAGTCGCTGTCATATATAATAACGGTATCAGCCGCTGTCAAATTAATGCCCACACCGCCTGCGCGAGTGCTTAATAGCATGATAAATGAGGTACTGTCTTCTCGACTGAATCGATCAATCGCTGATTGTCTCTCGTTGCCTGTGATATTGCCATCAATGCGCTCACAATTGTAGCGACGCAGTGCCAGATAGTCCTGAAGAATGTCAAGCATTATTTTAAATTGGGAAAAAATCAATACTCGATGACCATTGTCTTTGAGGCGCGGCAGCAACTTGTCTAGAAGAGTCAGCTTACCCGCTGTGTCCACAAGACTTTCACGAATTTGACGTTGAATTTCTTCTTTCGACACATCTTTTTGTTTTGTTAAACGCTTCACTTCGCGCTCCTCTACACCTCGAACGAGAAAAGGATGGTTACAGCACTTGCGAAGCTCCATTAAAACATTCATCAGGCTAGGTGTGTCACCTTTTTTGCTACCTCTTGAGAGAAATTCTGTATTTTTCTCATAGATAGCGCGATAATATTGCTTTTGAAGCACAGTGAGTTCGACTTCAATAATAGTTTCCTCTTTTGGAGCAAGCGACTTCTCCACATCTTCCTTCATGCGTCGAAGTATGTACGGCTTAAGTTCTGTATGCAAACGATCGACTTGTGCAGAATCTGTAAGCTCCCCAAAATTTTCAAGGAATTTATCCTTTGACGCAAATTTATCACCATCAAGAAAGTTTAAAAGCACCCAAAGCTCCTCAACATTATTTTGCAGTGGAGTACCTGTCAGCAACAACATATTTTCGTAGGTGTATCTTGTATGGAGGATGTTTGACAACTTCGAGTTTCGGTTCTTTAATCGATGCGCCTCATCCACAACCATCAGCTGCCAATTGATCTGCGCCAGCTTGTACAAATCCGTCGCGCAAGCCATTTCAAATGTGGTGATAAGCACATCAAAGCGATAGCACTTGCGCTTCGGTCGTGAGGTCGACAGCTTACTGTTGCTGCTATGTCCTGTTAGCTCAGCAGCATGCAGCAGCTCATTCTTCGATATAAAAAACTCATAATTTTGCAGCACATCCCGCGCCGCAGCAGACCCATGATACACAACGGCATTAAGGTTGGTCCAGCTATCAAATTCGCGCTGCCAATGACCCAACGTCGAAAGTGGGGCCACAATGATAAATGGTTGCGGTGTAAGCTCCACCACGGCGAGATGGTTAATGTACATGACTGTCTGTACAGTTTTTCCAAGACCCATCTCATCTGCCAGCATTGAATTTCGTTTTTGATACCAATTGAAAAGTAACCAATTTACACCCGTAAGCTGATAGTCACGTAGCAATAAGTTTTGCTCTTTCCGACACGGTGGTGGCGAATCAGCGGTGTAGCCCCTAAAATTTTTGCGCTTATTTTGCGGTAAATGTTTTGCAAGCGCAATTTTCTTATAGCGCTTCGCTGCTCGCACAATTCGTGCGTTGTATTGCTTCATTGCGGCGTCATCACCTACATCATCTTCTCGCTCCCATGTGATTTCATCGTACGGAAGAGCCTTCCACTTCACTAACACAAACTGACACTTGCTTTCACCTTCAACAGCATCGTCCGGAACAAAGTCATCAAGTGGCTTATCTCGAAGTTCAAGTATACGATCAACACTTCGAAACTCTGGATTAAAATATTCGTCTCCTTGGATATCTTGACTGTATAATGTGCCTAGTTTTTTCTCGCGAAAGCGTTGTATTTTTCCTTTTGCCAGCTTGTCTGTCTCCAGTAATTCTTCTTCTGTTTGCCAACTTGTATGCAGATACGAAAGTGTCTTCCACTTGATCAAGAAGCGTTCCTCACCAGCATCTTCAATGTCATCCACATCGATACTTTCCTTTATTGCCGCACGTCCTTCCCTCTTAGTTGTAGCATGACGTTTTCCCGTTCTCTGCACATGACTCGAGAATATCTCCTCTTCATTATCTTCTTCCTCTTCGTCGTCTGATGGCAAAAAAATAGAGCTATGAGTCAAAAAGCGAGTGTTCTTGTTCCAGCACATTTTCTTCCATTCTCTTTGAGTGTGCGTTTCACAAGCCAGTACTTTGCCAATGACAAATCCATCCGACTCTGGCACGTTTTCCGACATCTCGCTATCTTCCTCAGAATCTGCCTCATCAGAGTCTGACAAAGAATTTTTTCGTTTCACCTTCTCCTTTGTCTTGGCTTTGGCTGACGCCCTTTGCTTCGATTTCGGCTTTACGTTTGCCCTTTCATCCTCTTCATCAGTATTCAAGACATAACTGTCGTACGACAGGTCGATTACAGATTGCATTGATTTTCGTTTGCGGCCACTGCGCCTTCGATTTGGATACTTCTCTGATAGTTTTTCATCTTCTGACTCAGTTTCCCTTTCTTGGTCTACATAATCCTCCGTCTCGTCTTCATCTATTCCCTCGACTTCGTCTTCTTCCAGATCACCTTCATTTTCGTAGTACTAAAAAAATCATTCAATAAACATTAGAAAAAACAATTAAATGATATCAAATTTTAGTGTACCTGGATCTGCCTGGTCATATCTCGTCGTCTCTTCGCGGGTCTCTCCACATCGGATGAGTCTGAGGTGTTATTACCACTCACATTAGCTTTGTTACGTCTTGTTCTGAGTTTGAGCCTCGAATTGACGGTTATATCCCCCATTGTCAAGTCGCTCTTAGAACTGGAGCTTGATAGCTCAAAAGCATCCTCTGTCACGTTGGGAGTACCATACAAGGACTACACGAAGCAAATTATTATTCGAGAAATGTACAGCTGTCACCAAGATGCACACATCGGGTCTTAAAACGTACCATGACGGTCGACTCTTGTACGCACTCACCGAATAGTTTAAAATTTGTGTAAGGTTGATGATTTTTGTAATGTGATTGGTTAATTTCTAACATCGGAGATTTATGGCAATCTTCCATTTAAAAAATGGAAGATTGACTGGCGTAAAGAAACGATATATACGATTTTGTATGTAGGCAATTTTCTACAACCTAAAGATTCGAGCTTCAGCGTTGGTGCTTAAGAAGACGATTGTCCACGGATGTCGACAGCAACAGGGATGAATCGCGGTGAGATATAATTGCGATGCCTATTTCATCCACGAGAATCGACATTAAAATACTATTGCATAGTACTCTGTGCAACATCTAAAGCAGGCAAATGTAACGGGGTTACACGTTCCCTGGTATGAAGGGGTGTATATCACACAAGATGGTCTGACCACACAGTAGTGTGGCTACACCTTAACAGGAAACCACTACCGTGGCGGGACAGTAAGTAGTTTTGCATTTTAGGGAGGTTTTACTATTAAATAATGAAAGACTATAGATTTAGATATAGGCTGCTCTTCTGCAAATAAAACAAAAGAAATATAGTTTGGTTTCGAACTGAAGTACGTATTTGCCTTGGGTTAAGGTTTTGGGTGCTCTTGGAGTTAACGGATTGCGATCCGCTGCACTCACACTGGTTCTAGTATATAACGTAAGGTCGGTGGCCTTAGCTTAGCTTCCTATAAGCAAAGAGCTATGGCAGCCCCGCCGCACTTGGTAGTACTTGTAGTCAATCTACACCTGAGTCGTTACGACTGATCCTTCGTGAGGATAAAGCAATTCATCTTTTTACCCAGGGCATGCAGGACGGCTGATATCCCTGCTGGATCCCGAGAGCGTGGAGCCTTGTTGCGCAAGGACCCGAGGCCATAAGCGCGCGCCTAAAGGCATTTTCAAGTTATGAAAATGCACTGTTAGAGCACTTACAGCAGATGCTGTACGTTCTGTGGTCCGGAAGCCAAACGGCAGGTGGTGTATCGCTCACGCTTACAACAAGCTCAACGCTGCCACCAAATACGGCATTTGGAAGGGATGTTCTCCAGAACAATATAGCTGGATGTACAAAGTACAGTGCACTCGACTTGGTCAGTGGGTTTTACCTGAATGCTATTCCGCTGACAGTGGTGAGTACTCCGAGCGGCATGCTCTGGGAGTGGCTGGTGATGCACCAGCAACATTCAATTGTCTTGTGACGCAGTTGTTCAGTTCCATCGGGCGTATACACAGGCATACTTCGAGGTCATCTTCGTCCACAGTCGTCCAGAGCACGGGAAGACGGATGTAAAGAACCACATCGTCCATAAAGAGCGGTGCTAGAGTGCATGCGCACGAAAAAGCTGTATGCTAATCAGATAAGTGTGTCTTCGGCGCCAAAGAAATCCCTTTCTTAGAGTGCTACATTAAGAAGCGTAGTCTTCAAGCGGATCCCGCTAAGGTGAAGGTCATTGTGGACTGGCCGGTTCCAAAGAACAAAAGGACTTGCGCAAGTGGCTTGGCCTCGCCATCTATAAAGCGCAATTATGCGAAAATGGCACGGACATTGTCGAATCTCCTGAAGAATGATACAGAATGGTGTAGGGACACCGAGCATCAGCCCAGCTGAGCCGCCGCACTCGGAGAGGGTTTCACCCTCTGACACGTCTCACGCGTGCGCACCATGTGCTCGTCCATTTTTACAGCTTGGGCCACCAATAGTGGCAGCTCACCCAGCTGTGCGTCTTCTCACGACCGAGATGACGACTGAGTGTGGTCGTGGGCCTCATAGAGGATACGGTACTTCAAATCCTCATCTTGAGGAACCACAATTTGTGGCGTATCCGCTATTATGCAGCAACCCATTATTCAACGAATATCAGTGTAATCATGCGCGCAAATGTGTCGACAGCTTTTTGTCCGAGGTTCCAAACTCCTTGTTTCCGAGAGCCTGTATCAGCGCGACACATATACCATCACTCACGTATGCGGCGCGGATCAAATCTTTAACTGACGACGTCACCGTCGAGACATGATCAAGCTCATTGTCCGGGCTGCGTGACAACGCATCAGCCAACTCATTCTGCTTTTCTGACTTATACTTCACCTCTAAGTTATATTCCGAAAAGAATGAGAGCCCTTGGCCATCCTCCGCGAGAGGTGAGGCGACTGAGTCGCAGTGCGTCATGACGCATGATTTGTGTAGATCACAAACGGCTTTGAGTAAAGCAGGTGTACCCTGAACTTGACAAGTGCATACTTCATCGCAAGTAATGCCTTGTCGTTGACCGGGCAGTTTCCCTCCGCAGCCATAACCGGCGAGATTCGACCAATCTCGCCCCACGGCGCCTGCCTGCTTGCAGCAGTGCACACAGCCGATGACAAAGTCCGAAGCGTCACAGACGACACTTAAAGGACGATCGGGGTCTGGCAACGCCAGTGTTGGTGCTTGAAGGAGGCTGCTGTTGACCTTTTCGGAAGCCTCCAGTTTACCAGTGGCAGTCCACTGGTAAACTGTGTGTTTTGTCTGCCGAAGGACTCGGCGGGCAACACGTGTGTGGTAGTCTTTGTGGACCGTTTGAGTGAGGTGGCTGTTCTTGCGGCAGTGCCGGATACCATCGACGGTGTGGATACAGCGACGCTGCTTGTCGATCGTGTCTTTCGACAGCATGGACTCCCGGAGTCAATTGTCTCGATAGAGACTTGCGCTTCAATGGGACGTTTTGACCTTCAATCTTGAGGGTGCTGGGCACCGAGTTGACTATGCCAACAGCGAACCATCCGTAGACAGATGGTCATACTGAGCGCGTGACTCGCGTCGTTAGAGACGTTCTGCGCTGAAACGTCGAGGCGCTGGAGCGCTATGTTACCACTCGTAGAGTTTACTCTGAACAATGCAGTTCATTCATCTACCAGCTAAACATCGCCCTACGTGAACGGACTAGTTAATCCTCACGTCCCGCTGAGGCCGTCATTTCATGGCTCAGGGCTTGGTGGGGGAGGAATAGCCGAGCGGCTGGCTGATGTCATCCCACTCGTCTGTAAAGAAGTCGATGGTTATCAGACGGAGTGTCCTACGACACGTTCGCGATGCGATGTCTGAAAGCCAATACATGCAGAGAGAATATGCAGACGAAAGAAGCAGAAGAAATGTGGAAGACTTTGAGGTCGGAGACCCGGTATTATTAAATGCTAAAAAACCTCCCTACACATGCATCCCTACACATGTATCCCTCCTACACATGCAGTCTGTGCTGGCTTTAAGACGAAGCTCCGTACCTGGTTTATTGAACCTATTATGATCGTGGCCAAGCGAAGCCTTGCGTATACGCTATACCTTCCGAGAAGGGTGCCCACCCACTCGATGTCGTATGTAGAATTGCTCAAGCTCTACCGGGATCCGGCGCAAGTGAACGCAGAAGCGTTGGCGCTGGGGCGGCGCTCAAAGGCGCTCGGCCACCCAGAAGCTGAGCCAGCTACTGGTTCTGGGCACGGAGTGCAACAATTTCCGTTTCCGACGGCGCAATGTGCCCCACCGTCGCACGAAGTGACGTAGTCGTCTGCTCGACGGCTAGGAAATGCTCCGACAAAGCGCGATAGTCTCAACGTGAGGAACATGGTGCACAAAGTGCTCCAAGCCCTCAAGGTCTTCCGCACAGCGATGTGCGACCTCGTCAACATGCTCGGCGGAGTGCTGATTACGATGGACTTTGTCCTCCAAAGCTCGAAGAGCATCGCGGATCCCGGACGGCGATTGTGTAAGTCGTCATTGTTCGCCACCGACCCTATTCGATGAGAATGGTGACGTACACGATCACGTGGAGCGCCTGTTGGGTCAGCGTCGTCGACAGGGTCGAACCCCAGTATCTTGTGAGGTGGCGGGAATTTCCAAACTCCGAGAACTCGTGGGAGTTCAAGTGCCACTTCTGCAAGACTGTGGACGCTTATGATCATAAGAATTATTAAGCTTTTTCAAGACAACAAGTCACTCCAAATACGCTACTGGCTTTCGCTGATCACGAGTCATTAACACGCTTGGCTACCCAATGACCAAAAGCGGTGATGGGCGATTTGAGGCAAGAAAATGCGCTGATGACATTTACGAACGATTCTACATAGCGATAAATTTGATCTCAATCGCCCCGCGCTTCTCGGTAGAAGCCCGAGAAGCCGAAGGGCCATGAGCTGAGCTGAAGCTATGGTTCTGAGCTGCTGCGGTCGCAGACTCACCCGTGTGAGAGACCACAGAGCTCGCGGGAGAGTGAAGGATCAAATCATATGTCGCAGGGCGACAATCCGAAGGAGGTTGACGACGCACCTTGAGTTTGGCAAACTCAAACGAAGATGGCGTCGCACACACGCGTCCACTCAGCTGAAAGTTGTACAGCGAAGAGAGTTTCTTCTTCTGCTGCAGCCATTGCACAAAGAGCTCTTCGTCATCTGCAGCGGTTTGGCAGGCGCGAGGACCACAGGAATCGTCCGCATTGCGGGTACAGTAGCGCCTTCATTTTGAGCACAAATTCGAGTGCAGTACGGACATTTTTGAGGAACCAAGAAGCAAGCTCGGAGAGCCTTTCGTTTGTCAAGCTCAGCTTGTGTTGTGGCCGGGGGCTCGACCGAGTAGACGCCCAACGATCGAGTGATCGCATCCTTCGCTTCTGCAGCAAGGTGCGTCGTGCGGATGCCGTGTTCCGCACGAAAGTCAAGGACCGACCGTGGATGTGCGCGCATAAGAGCCGCTCTGCGGATATCACCCGGCTGTTGCTTCTGTGCTCCGTCGAGGTCATTGATAATGATACCACTTCCCCCAAAGTCGAGAGTTCAGTAAACGGACACAGCGTCCGCAAGGTTCGAGCAGGGCTCACGTCGCGCCGCTGCGGCACCTCGCCGCCCTATTTCCTATCCTAGAAATAGGTATCCGACTCAAAGTCGGCTTCCTCCAAATCCTTGACAACATAATCCATCGCCCGTGGTGGGCGCGGTGCGTGAAGCTCGGTTTCCGAGAGTCTGGGTTGCGCTTCCCTTTAAGTCGCGAACGTGCTGTATGGAGTTGCACCGCGTGCTGGAGATGAAAAAGGGCTCTGCCCGTGGGCGTTCTCGGAACCAGCGAGACTGGGTGTCTTGCGCGTCCTCGACACAGGGTTCCTTTAGCAGAGAGTTCGTGACTAAGGTCCTGGTGAAGTTGTGATGTCTTAGAGGCGCGAGCCTCGTTCGAGGCGACAGTTGAATTTTAACTGTAGGTGTCCACAGTCTTGATGGGGGAGAGTGTGACGGGATCACACAAGATGGTGTGATCTTACAATGGTGTGGGTTACACAATATGGTGCTACTTTGATAACAAGTCAGTACGTGGCTGGAGCAGCCAGTAGTTTTACATTTAATCGGATTTTGCTATATGGATAGGAAAACCTATAGATTTAGATATAGACGGCTTTGCCAATACCGAAAAATACAATATACATTTTAAACGGAAGAGTTAAGTAGCCATGGGTTAAGGTTGTAGTTACTCTTGGAGTAAATGGATTGCGATCCGCTACACTCGTACTGATTCTAAGTATTGAACGAAGGTCGCCGACCTTGATTAAGCTTCCTCGAAGCAACTACGGCAGCCCTGCTGCAGTCTCGGCATAAAGAAATTAAGCGGCAAGCTGCGCGGACATCAAGCAAGAGTGTTGAAGCGTGATGTCCCACAGCTTAAGTGTAGCGGGGTTGCACGAACCCTAATAACAGGTGTGTGTGTGTCACACGAGATGTGCATGGTGTGACCACACACTCAAACAAAAATACATTACGGGGCTAGGTAGCCAGCAGTTATGCATGTATTTAGATTTTACTGAATAAATTCAGTATATTTAGGAAAATCTAAACTTTTGACGACAGAAAAATAAATTAAAATTAGTTTGGAATTTAAATTAAAGAGTCGATTAGCCCTGGGAAGGCAATAATTACTCTTAGAGTAAGCGGATTGCGATCCGCTAACTCACACTAGGTTCTTGTAAAGAACGAAAGGTCGGTGACCTAAAGTACGCTTCCTCAAGCGTTTTCTACGGCAGCCCCGCTGGATTTAGAGTGTATGTTCTGTATGTTTGCTTATTAATATATGTGATTCGCAAAGCTGATCTAGGCCGCAGATGGACTCCTATCGATTTAACGTGGGTTTAAGCCCCACCATGGTTAATGTTATTGCAACGTTTCTTCGTCAACTGGTGATTTGGGCTTGCGAAGACTAGTCCATTTCTTGTTACGCCCCCTTTGTCACTTGAAAAATTGAAATTTTACTGATAAATTTTAGATTGTAACAATTTTCTTTTTCATGCTGGACTTTTTTGAAGCTCTAGTCTTTAATACGAAAAGGCTTTGAGCAGTCAGGACTTTTGCTACACCCACAGCTACACTACATTTATCTTTACAAGTGCTTAAAGGCTTTTTTTTACGAGCTCATCGACTATTTCGCCAGCAAATATGCTAGCACCTCACTCTATATGACCTTTCAGGCATCATAGGCGTCTCGATTTTATATTAAAAGAAGTTACTCTCAATTATCATTCCCTCCTCGATGCGGTTTCCGCATTCTTTTTACAAAAATTGGTGCGACTGAGGTTATTTTTTCTAGACATGATCATATTCCCTACTTTCTTCAATGTTGAGAAGCTGCTATGTCACATACCGATTAATTTCGAGAAGTCAAGATCAGTTGTTGGTAACCATATTAAAGGGGGTTTACCGAATTAAGAAATAGGTTTTGCCTCGTCATATTTTTGTAATTCTTTTTGATGATTTTGAAGCTACAATGATTGTAACTTTGGTACATTTGTTGTCAGGAAGCTAAATGATAACTTGCGTGCATGTTTAAATACAACAACTCCTATCAATCGGACAAATATACGCAAACATGGTAGAGGAAATGTGTAAGCTATCTTCAACAGCCTGCTACAGTAGCCATACATAGACTTGTAGCCTTGAAAGTGCGTAGACCATCCAACAACAATAATCGTTGGCCTTTTGCAAAAAAGGTGCGACGTCCGTTTGTATATATATATCAGCAAACTCGATTCTATACTTCACGCCTATGAACTTTGATTTTTATGGTATTCTTTCAATATTCTGGATTCGCTGTTTAAAAAGTTCAAGACTTGTCATATTCATCAATGTCGTATTCGCTCTTATAGAAGGTGTCGGCGGTGCCAGCCATTATATCAAGGCTGTGTAATGTGGGTTAGAGATAAAAATTCTCAAAGTCGATGTTGTCTTGTTTGTCAAGCACTTTAGATAAAAAGTCTTATTTCGAGTAACAAGATCGTATGTTGGTATCGCCAACAATACTAAATGTGGACCTAAGATTTACGTAAGTAAAATGCGCATCATAAACTACCGAAAGGGTCGAATCATGCGTGATTGTTGCACATAGCCACTGGTGTGTAAGTGGTTACGATTAATTTACGGGTTGCCCTCGCTGTAATAGTTGTCTCCATCGAGTTTTACTATACCAAATCGGATTCCGAGATCATTGATTGATGATCATCAGTTGCGCGAAAGCATTTCCTTTAATTTCAAATCACAGCTCACGAGCGGCGGAAGGAAGATCGAAACCTGCAAAGACAATTACACAGTACCAAGTGATCCGATAGATGGCTTGACACGTGTCAATATTGTTTAGATATGAGTGATCAGTCCAACCGTTGTCTTGAAAAGCATGAGCGCAATCTTCTGTCTAGAATCTGCGACGTCGCTGTTTGATCTTAATCTTGTAAAGACTTTGTATACTAATAATGTGCTGCTTCACCATGACGACGTTGTCTCTTCGAAACCATTAGCAATTTTTCTGGGTATCGTCACTGCGCCTAAGATTTATGCCAACCTGTGCTCGTTGTGCAAACACATCCTTGTTATGAGCCGATAAACTGCACGTCGAGCAAAATAAAACCATGTCGCGCAAGGACGTGCTTACTTTGTCTGCACCTGGATTGACGATGCACGGTCTGAGTACGCGCTCATGGAATCACGGCTCAAGTTGCGCACCGAATAAAAAACAAGTCAAAGATAGAAGGCAGGTATCATCGAGCGCGCCTGTTTTAGCTCTACGGTACGTGGGTTTGGCCTTGTCATTAATCGCTTATTTTTGTGCCTTGCCCAGGTGTCTTTCCGTCTGTCCTGCATAACAAATCTACATTTTATATTCGCACCACCGTCAGTCAAGAAATCGACAATTCGACGCTTTTCATTGAGCGTCACAACCGTCTCTGCATGCTGCAAAATTCGCTGGTGTGATCCACATGTACCGATTACGCGTGACAAAATTTGAGACCAGGAACACCTCCAAACACCATGTCCCTTCTTTTGATTGCGTGTCTTCATTGCTTACGCGCATGTGACTCAAGACACCCATGATGTCTCATCTGTACGTGGTAGAGGTTCGCGTACCACAGTTCAAACATGTCGAAGACGATGGTCGAAGCGTTGTTGACGTGCAATACCGTTCCCAAATGCACAAATGTAACGTCTTCCTGCTTCATTGCTTAATCGACTTTGCTTTGACTGGTATATCACTCTGTGCATTGACTTTTAAGTCTGTACTTGAGGATAAGCATGTTGTTGCATGTCGCTACGTCGAGCACGACGTCACCAAGTTCGATCAAATTATACCCGCCGTTATCCTTATGTCTAAGGTCATATCTTCTAAGCTACAGCTCTCCATACGACACGACAGTGCGTGTTAGCAATTGTGTCTTGTAGACATCCTTCAGTGGAACAACGCTTGCTGTTTTGCACGCCAACTCAGAGAGCATAACACTTCTAAATTTCGATTGAGGTGTTTTTCCACCGGCAACTATGGATGTGATTACCCAACCATGCGCATACTCGAGCGTGCTAATGCCCAACTTGATTTCTCCGACTTGACATCATTTTCCCATTCTGCTACTGAGGCTTCGCAAACCTATAATCCAGATACTATGTCATCGCGCTCAGTCGAAAACAAAGCAGTCATCTTTTTGATGATTACGTTCTGCTTGGTCGTTATGTTTCCCAGCTGACGGCGCTGAGTATAATCTTCTCTTCCAAAACAGAACAACAGAACAACAGCGCTGAAGCGAGAAGGAATAGTGTCGGAGACAAAGAAGTTGTCAGGTGCACTTGTTCTAAAACAAGACGTCCATTCTGGATAGGAGGGTTGTCAGGCAGCACATCAGTAGAATCTATATCGTCGAATTTCCATCTAGCGTTCATGAGATATTATCCGGGCTCCTCGACGTTTGTTGACTGTAACAGAAACTAAAATAAGCTCTTAATGTGGTGTAGATCAAGTTACGTGAAAAGTCTGAACGTAAGTTCGATGGTAGCTTTGTTCCTGATTCTGGTACTGCGCCATTAGAACGTGATCGGAATACTCCAGATGATCAGAATACTCTAGATTAGAGGTGGGAATGGACGTATCGCGCGAGAATGGTCCTATTAGATCGAAAAGCTCTTCAATGGAGTACATTCTGTCTGTTGGTAGCGAAGGCCAGATCTTTCATGAGAGTGGATTTTTGCGAATGACACAAAACGGAAGACTGATTTTGGGTACGAGAAGGTCATTCAAATGACAATATATGACACGATTAGTCATTGAAAGAAAATACGAAAAAGAGAAGGATTTTTTAAGTGTATAACATCAGCGGCGTAGGAGTTGCCATTACGCATCATCGGCATGATAATAAGGTGATGGGTACGCTTCATGACGTTTGTGAGTTCTTGAAAGGTTGAGTCGTCCAACAAAATCTGCAGTGTACTCTATACATCATAGGATTGAAATGTTACATTGCAATTAATAATCTGATTCGTGACAACAGTTGATAGTGTTTGGGTGTAGCAGTCGAATTTTAATCTCACAAATAGAAACGGAAATAAGGCTTTCTTCGGCGATGTTTCTTCGTAAAGTTCCTGTTGAATTTGCTGCACCACCAACAAGTGGAAATTATCAACTAACATAACAAGGCGATAAGATTCCTTTTGACCACGCCTATGATAAAATCTGTTATCATCATTCCCGCCGACAAAGCTATACATATGTAACCAAACACGTATAATACTAATTATAAAATATTGAATTGAAAGATTGCTTCAAATTGCGAGCAAAATCCTCTTTGATAAGGTCCTCCGAACCTACCCGCATACATTCTTTAGCCTGCCACGTGTTTGGTGATACAATTTTCGAAGATAAGGCCACGTTGAGGCAGAGGCGAGAATTGACAGCATTGATCACGACAGCAGCAAACTGGTCTTGTCACACTAAAGTCTACCAACGCACTTTAAGTCAACGATGGACAAAGCTTTGCTGACACGCGCTACAAGCAAAGATGATACGCCAACACCCGGTTATCTTTACGGGGAAATTGCACGCATGACACAACACAGCTATGAAACATGTTCCAAGGTGCAAGATTTCCTTTTAAATCGCGTAAAGAACAAGCATCACACCATCAAATACAAGGCACTGCAAGTTATTAAACATGTTTGTCGTGAGGGGCGTGTTGACTTTAAGCGAGAGATGCAGCGGCACATCCCTGCTATCAAAGAATGTCTGCGTACGTATGCTTATGAACTTCTTGTTTATATGTTTTGAGGATCCGATCTGATTTTGTATACAATTATAAAGAGGTTCGTGGCATGCCTGACCCATTAAAAGGTGACGAATATTATCGTCGCGTTCGGGATGCGGCAAAAGAGGTACTAGACGCTATCTATGACACGGACAACACACCTGGACTAGGCGGATTGGGTATGTCGGCCCGCATTCAGGGCGTTGGGGTTAACCCAAATGACAATAATGCAGGTGGAAATTCTGGCTGGAGCTCCAAAATCTGGGGTGGAAAGAACTCAAACGACAGCTCGCTGCCTCCTCCGCCGATGGCCGGCCCACCCACTGGCGGATTTAATGGAGCTGCACCTCCAGGAGCTCCGTATGGATACCCGACAGACCCAAATCAGGGTACCTATGGTGGTCCACAACCTTACGGTCGTCAATTACCTTACGGTCAGCAACAACCAGATTTCTCTAATCCAGGATCGTATGGAGGCCCTGGTGCTGGCAATCCGCCGTACGGTGGAGCTCCACCGCTTCAGTATGGTGGTGTACCACCCCCTTACAATGACCAG